ATCTATGTCCACAAAAGAGAAGTCTGATCTCAGTTGTTCAAAAATGTAAGACGTGTTTTGCTCTTGGGATGTGAGGACAGTTGGCTAAGTGTGCCTCTAGAGCCCATATGCCCCCATATAATTTGCCCACTTTCCTGTCCCCAAATGTATCTTGGTGTATCTGCACCTGCTCCCCCACACATGCTCATCAATGCCAACAATCTCATATCTGTACTAATCTTTCACAGCAAAATAAGAAAATTTCAGAAACCATCTCTACTTCTGTTTAAAAAGCAAATAAAACCTTGTTTATATGGCAACATCAAACAAACCAAATCAGGGATTTTACTGATGATCATTCTCTGTGATGCCCATTTACCAAAAAAAGGGTCAGTCTGACTTGGTTGGCTTCCATAGTCCATGGAAGCATTCAGAAACTATGTTATTTCTTGGGTTTGCTTCCTTAGAACCAAGTGTTAATGTTCTAGTGAAAGACGGCCCAGAGATCACATAAGGTGTTCAGGAAAAGAAAATTCTTATCTTTTTTGTCTGAATTGTTTTCATCTTGTTGCTATGATATTTAAGGCTATTCCAAGGATATTTCTACTAGGCATGTTTCTATTTTTTTTTTTTTTTTGAAACAGGGCCTCAAGCTATCCCCCTGGGTAGAGTGCTGTGGTATCACAGCTCACAGCAACCTCCAACTCCTGGGCTCAAGTGAGTCTCCTGCCTCAGCTTCCCAAGTAGCTGGGACCACAGGTGCCCACCACAATGCCTGGCTATTTTTTGTTGCAGCTGTCATTGTTGTTTTGGCGGGCCCGGGCTGGATTCAAACCTGCCACCTTAGGTGTATATGGCTGGCGCCTTAGCCACTTGAGCCATAGGCGCCAAGCCATACTAGGCATGTTTCTGATGCAAATGATCTCCTAAACAGAGCTTAACAGAAATGATCCTACATATAATTTGAGTGTAACATCTCCTTCTTTCATCTTCTGGAAAACCAAAGGAGGAGCCATAAAAATGGGGGTGTGCATTTCACTACTCTTCTTCCTCCCCAACTCTAGTCCAATTGTCCATGAATGTTCCTTCTTCACTTAGAAAACTCACAACTTAGTAACACTGCTACTCAGCACTAGATAAGACAACATGAAGGTCATGTGGACTTAAGGCAGACTCGGCACAGATAAGAAAGGAGAGGGAATCCCAGAGAGAAGCAGGTAAAGGAAGAAGAAAGAAGAAAAAAGATAAGAGACTGTTTCGCTCTCACTGATGGAGGATGGGCCCCTGACTTCCTAGGTTCTATTTCCTGTGCCAATGAGACTTCTCTATTTTCCTTTCCTGGTGTCATCTATAAGGCACCACTGCATCCTTCTAATAGACTGCTTCTCCACTGTATTCATCAAACAAATACTTACTGAGTCTGTACTACGTGCTCAGAATTACGGCAGATACTAAATATTAACAGAGTACGAAACAGACTTGGTAACCACTCTCACAGATTTTTCCATTTGACAGGAAAGAGAAGCACTAAATAGGTAATTACACACAGAGAATAGGTAACCAGTAAGTACACTGAGCTACAGAAGCATGTGGTTTGCATAGCATCCTAGTTTGCTAGAAAGAAGGATTGTTGCTGGGTAGGATCTCTTTGAGGAAGCAAAACAGGAGCTGAGACCTGAGGGGATGATGGACAAGTAACGAGGCAAAGTAAAAGGGGCAGATGGAAACATTCCAAGCAACAGTGAGAACCCTGTGAAGCCCCAGGATAGAAAATGGGCATATTGAGGAAATGCCAATAAGGAAATCTACTATGGCCCCAAAAGAAACTGAAATGGTAAGTAAGCAAGGGTCGAAACTTAGAAACGCTTTTAAGAACTTTGAATTTTATTCTAAATGCATGGAGAAGCTAAATTTTAAAAATAAATCTCAAAGAGTGGTGACATAATCTGATTTACATTTTGCATCATTTAGGATGAACTGAATGTGTTGCATTAACTAGCAAGAGAGATGACACTGACTGGGACTGAAGTGGTGGCTCTCGAATGAGAATGTTCTTGCTTCCCAATGAATATTTGGTAATGACTTGAGACATTTCTGATTTTCACACAGTGGGGCAAAGGAGGGAGGGTTACTACTGGTATCTAGTGGGAAGAGGACAGGGATACTGTTAACCATAGTATAATACACAGGAAAGTATATACACAGGGCAGCACCTGTGGCTCAGTGAGTAGGGCGCCAGCCTCTATATACTGAAGGTGGCAGGTTCAAGTCTGGCCCCGGCCAAACTGCAACAACAACAAAAAAAAATTAGCCAGGCATTGTGGGGGATGCCCACAGTCCCAACTCCTCAGGAGGCTGAGGCAAGAGAATCACCTAACCCCAAGAGCTGGAGGAGGTTGCTGTGAACTGTGATGCCTCTACTGAGGGCAACAAAGTGAGATTCTGTTTCAAGAAAAAAAAAAAAAAGGAAGAAAGAAAATACCCTATTTTGGCTCAGAGCCTGTAGCTCAAGCTGCTAAGGTACCAGCCACATACAATTGCACTGGCGGGTTCGAATCCAGCCTGGGCCCACCAAACAGCAATGACAACTATAACCCAAAATATCCAGGTGTTGTGGCAGGCACCTGTAGTCCCAGCTATTTGGGAGGGGGGCAAGAGAATTGCATAAGCCCAAGAGTTTGAGGTTGCTGTGAGCAGTGATGCCATGCCACTCTACCCAGGGCAACAGCTTGAAACTCTAAAAAAAATACAAAAAAAAAGAGCACCACAATGAAGAATTACCTGGAACAGTGCTGGGATGGAGAACCCATGGAGTAGAATGAAGGTCATGGAAATGGGAAGAAGCCACACATTAGAAAGCTGTTTAGTAGGTAAAAGTAGTGGGATTTAGTGATTAAATGGAGTGGGCAGACATAAGGAGCAAAACCGTTTCACTCCCAGGATTCTAGCTTGAAACCATGAACAAGGGGAGTAATGTTGAAAGAACAAGGTTGGAAAACGCAGAGTGGAGTGGGGAAGATGAAGAATATCATTTTGAACATTTTGCCTTAGAGATGACTTTAAGAGAATCAAAGGAATTGTCTAGCACACGTCCATAGACATAGCTCTAGGACTCAGCAGAAAGCATGCGGTGAATTTAAACATTTCAGTGTTGCTATGAGGAACAGATTAGATACTTCGCATGAAGAGCTTAGCATAATGGCACACGTTGTAATCAGTCAATAAATGTTATTACAGTGTTATTGATGGTATAGGCATGTAGGTTGTAATTGAAACCAGGGGAGTAGTAAATAAGATTCTCTCAGAAGAAGGTGCGGTGTGAAAGAGGGAAGGGTGGAGCCCCAAGCAATATCAAAAAGGAAGCTGTAGGAGGCAGGCAGGAGAGGAGCTGTAAACTGGGACTGGGTAGGCAAGAGGGCCAGCAGCTTGCAAGGGTCCTGAAACCAGGGAAGGGAGGAGCCAGTGGCTGGCCATACCTGATTCTGCTCTGAGCTCAGGGAGATTGAAAAAAAATTTTTTTCCAAATAAAGCTTGAGATAAGAAAGACATTGGTGAACTTGAGAAATGCTGGTTTGGTAAAGTTGGAGTGTGGGTTGGAGAGTAAAAAGAAGAAACTGTAACCTTTTGACAAACCTTTTGTAATGCCTGGCTGCAAGAACTGAGCAGAGCTACAGCCAGAGCAGTACCTGGGGGGCTTAGCATTGCCATTATTGTTTAAGGCAGGAGAGATTTAGCATGTTTAATGTGCACGTTGTGGTTAAACATCAACAGGAAGAGCTGAAGATACAGAATAAAGAGAAAATAATTGTCAGGACAAGGTCTCCAAGAAGAAGAACAACATGACAGACAGAAGCCTGACGCAACCCACATTAACACTGGCTGATCTGTTGTAGCTTGCTTTCTGCAGTTGGAGACAGTTGATACATGCTAGACAGTGACACCTCTAAGGAATTAGTAGCAAGAGCGTTGCTCAACAGATTGCGTATTTGCTTTTCTCAGTTTAATGGTATGAGTATTAAGGACATTAGGAATCTTTTGGGGGCTCTTTTCATAGCCCATTTTTGCTTTTAATTCACTTACTTTATGAATTTACAGCACAATCATGTTTTCTAAATCAATATCTTGCCTGTGGCCATCAGAAAGAGAAACAATGACTGCTGCTCATAATTACCAATACATTCCAAAATTTATCTAACAAGTAAGGAGAACATGACTTTGAAACTTCTCCTAAGGTAGTAAAGGGCTTTATGGGTGTGTGAGAGGTATACGTGGGGAGAATGGAGAAATTGTGGCTAAATATCTTCACATTCCCTTGTAACCTATAGATTAGGGTTTGGGAGGGAGATGGAATCCTGAAAGTGGATATAGTCCCAGCTATGCCAATAGCCAACTGTGTGACCCTCAGGAAGTTTCCTAATGTCTCTACCTCTCCATTTCCTGGCATGAATAAGGGGAATTATAATGATGCCATGTTCACAGGGGTCAATCCAAGAATAAAATGAGACAATGCATATAGTAGTCCTCAAGCGACATTACTATTATTAGACTGGGCTATTTGTCTTGGCCAGATCAATGAGATGGACATTCTGTTTATTTTTCCACTCACAAGTGATCCTAGATTTAATTCGTTCTCTTGAATATCTAATATTAATTCAAAATCATGACAGTCAGCTTTAATATCTAGAATAATTGAGCAATAAAACATTCTCCCTTTTTGCTCTATAGTATTGTCTATCTAAAAGCATCTACCTAAATCCTAAAGATGAAAAGGGAAATCTTGCAGTAACACACCTTTGCCTGGCTATTGAGAGGTCTTCTATTGTCTGCCTTGGTGATCTGGCCTCTCATTTATTATCTTTCTTCCAAGAAGAAAGCACAAAGATGAAGAAATAAAAGTGCTCTCAACAGAAATATTTGACAAGAAGAAACCCTTAGCTTCATGGTCTTTGCCATACGTTGAATAGTCACTATCTTCCTGTCACTCACCTTGGCATTGTATGTTTTTGAAAAAGATATGCAGTGCTTGCTTCGGCACACATATACTAAAATTGGAACAATACAGAGAAGATTAGCATGGCCCCTGCTCAAGGCTGACACGCAAATTTGTGAAGCATTCCATATTTTTAGTTTAAAAAGCAAAAAAAAAAAAAAAGACATATGCAGAAGAAAAACCTCAAAGCAAAAAATGATATCTTCAGGCAGACCTCCATTTGGAAGGGGACAATCAGGGCAAATGTCATGACTCTTCATTGCTCTAGAACAAAACTAATGAGTCAGACTCACCTCTTCGCCTTGCACATGCCTTGGCTGAAGGTTCATCACATTCATTACTGTGGGTCAACATTCAGTCCTGTCCTGAAGAAAACTATCAAGCATTTCAGCAGTTAGAATGCCATGTGACAACTGTCAAAATTTCCTCAAAGAATTAGAGTTCCTGGAGAATGAGAATTCTCCCAACTTTGTAGGTGTCTTTTCTGTTAACTCTTTTTGATGTGATAAAGACCTGGCTTCTGAGAGTCAAGAAACTGTTGCTTTTGCAAATCAAGGTTTTTTTTAATTGAGGAGCATGGAGAACTGCAGAAGGAAAGATGAAAGTCAGAGTACAATAATAAAGAAGGCTGGAGAAAATAAAAAGCAGAACTGTGAGTGTATGATTTGCCAACCAGTCATGCAAGTTGAAAACAAATGAGAACCCAGGCCTTTCTACCCCATTTTCCTCTCAAATTACCTGCTTAACTAAAATATATTTGGGATTACATGTGGTCAATTCATCACTACACCAAATATATAATATAAAAACCAACAGGTGCTTTACATGCACTCAAATCATCACAATACTTAATTACTATAATGTTGATACAGACAAGTACTTTTCAAACTGCAATGTGCATAAAAACCTGTGGAAATCTTACTAAAATGCAGATTCTCATTCAGTAGATTTGGATGGGCACCAAATTTTGATTTCTAATGGCTAATTATCTTCGGGCTCAAGGTCCACACATTGCATTAAAAAGTTCAAAATAAAATCACTTCTAATAATCTGTCTCATTGCTACCTAACTTATCTCAAAATTTTGTGATTCAGAATCCAGTTCACAATTTCAGTCTATTAAAGTCATCATAAAAATAAGATTTTCCCAGTATATTGATAATCAGCTAATTTTCAATTGACCATACAGATCATTTAGAGCTATCAAATCACTCAAATCTTTATTACTAAAAGTTGCTGGTATGGGTCATTGTGATGTATATAGAATTTCCTATTTGACTCTTTGCTTTTGATTTTTCTTAGATGAAAATTTTAACTTTTTTAGATTATAAAATAAAATTTGTGGTATAAATTTAAGAACTGTTCATACTACTACAACGTTATCATTTTTGATTATAGAATGACATAGTGACATAAAAGAAATCTGAAAGGCGTCATTAATATGACCTTGTAACTGAGATGGAGTAAGCATAGAAGTCAGAGGAAAAGCACTTAAGAATCTGATGCATTGCTTTTAAACAAAAACCTCGGGAACTAATGGCATTCATAGTAGATAAACAGAAAAGTCCTAGTTCAAAATATGCTTAGCTTCCAGCAGAGAATCTAGCATATGCTAATTCTTGGTGTATTGAATTTAGCTGCATTTCAAGGTTCTGCTCTATTCACCAAAATTCTTTGCCAAAAGAAGCCAATGAGAGACAAAATACTACCTGGCAGAAAGAGTTTTAATAAGCAGGATATAGTCCCCAAAGCCTCTTTCATCTGTAAAATACTGCAGCAATTTTCACTTTGTCCTCTTGCCACACCCACTGAATGTTAATCCACACCCAATGAATGATAAACCCAATAGTCTGTCCACTCAGCACGCCTGCACTCAAGTAGCAGAGATGCTCTGGAGCAAACCACATCCTCCAGTTGATTGACAGCACTTGCAATTTGTAATTACCAGTCTCAACTGAGTTCTGGACATCCCCTATGATCTTATCACGTTATTCAAATCATTCTTCCCTTCCTTCACACTCCTTAGATGGCCAACCCCTCCCGTGTCCCCTTCCCCACCCATGGATGACATTAGTAAACAGGCTTGTAGATAAGACTGTGGCTCTTGAGGCAAACTGTCAGGGTTTTATTCAGCTTCCAGCAACTCAAATAAATGCAACTTTAAGCATACATCTCCTAACAGTTCTGTACCTCAGTTCCTTGTTGGTAAAATAGAAACAATATTTCCTGCCTCATACAGTTCTTGTAAATAGTAAATGAGTCAGTACATGTAAATCTTCTAAAATATTGTCAGTGCACGTAAATCTCCTAAAACAATATCTGCCCTCCATAAACCCAGGTTACTATTAACTATATTCTATTATGATGTTTTCACAGGAAATATAGAAGGCATCAGATGAAAAATGCCTTAACTCCCAACCCCATTTCAACAATTCCATCTGTAACTAACTTTCAGATGGAATCAGATGAAAAATGCCTTAACTCCCAACCCCGTTTCAACAATTCCATCTGTAACTAACTTTCCTTCTTCCGTTCCTTTACACTATATTTTCCTGAGAAAAGTCCACATCTACACTTGTGCATAAAGTTGGAGTTGGCAAACTATGACCCATGAGTTACAACTCATTTATTTTTTGTTATTGTGTTTTTGGAGTTTTGTTTGTTTGTCTGAGGCGAGTCTTACTCTGTCACCCAGGCTAGAATACAGTAACATCATCATAGCTCCCTGCAACCTCAAACTCCTAGGGTCAACTGATCCTCCTGCTTCAACCTCCTGAGCAGCTGGGACTCCAGGCATACATCACCACAGCTGGCTAATTTTTAATTTTTTACAGAGCAGGGGTCTTTTCCACCATCTACTCCATAGCTCATGTCAAAAATGTCACATCACATATCTTATCACAAAATCTACAGACTGAAGATGCCACTATTAACATTTATTTTAACTTTATTATAAAAAATTCAAAGTATAGAGATATTCTATTATGTAAAGTTCTATATATCCACCAACTGGCCTTAACAATTGTCATCATTTTATGATACCTCCTTGCTCAGCTTAATTATTTTTTAGTGTGGAAAAATACATGTAACATAAAAGTTACCATCTGATCCATTCTTAAATGTAAATTTCTATAGGATTAAGTACACATTGCCACGCAACCTTGGCCACCATTCGTTTCCTGAATTACACTGCTCACATGCTAAGTCTCTGCCCCAAATATTCCCTGCCACGAACCATTCTCTTAGTCACCACTGCATCCCCAGGGCCCAACACGGTGCCTGTCATATGCAATCAACATCAGCTGAAAAACTGAATGAGGTCTTCGGTTCCATTCTTAAATATCACTAGCTAAAAATACTCAGAATATTGTCATGAAGATCAAATCGAATAATTTAGGAAAATCTTCTTTGTGATCTTTAAATTCCAATGTACATCATAATATTATTATTGGGGAGATCAGGCATAAACAAATAAAAATAAAATACATCCAAAATGATAAAGAACCACATATTAAAATGCCATAATGCATGCTGTTTATTAGTGTATCCCAACATAAATTACTTAAAATGCTAGTTTATGAAATAGTTAAAAGAAAAAACAGAAACCTGGCTGTGATTTGAATGTTTTTATCTCCTCCCAAACTCATGTTGAAAAATTAATCCCCAAGGGCGGAGCCAAGATGACGGACTGAAGCCAGCTTTTTACAAAAGCTCCCGTCCAGAAGGAGGCTTAAAGGACAGAAGTTTAGCAAAGGAGTTGATGGTTTGGAGCGGAGCCAAGAGAGAAGATTCAAGAGCACACTTCAACCTTCCTGAGGCAAGCTGCAACCCCCAAAATACAATCAAAAGGTATAAAATCCACCACCAAGCAGAGGGGAGTCCCCTCACCCCACAAGAAGGGCTCACAGTTTATTCCAAGCAAACAAGCGAGCAGAGTTCAAACATCCTCCCACTCTATCCCACAGGAGAGACCCCCTAAAAACTGGACCTCCTACCCCTGCTGGCGTGCCACGGCACCCTCCTGCCAGGCATAAAACTGTAAAACTGTATAAAACTGTATATAGTCCTCACCTGCAACATTGAACTCTTGAGGACTCCCCCCTCCAACCCTGAGGTCTGGAGGTTTGTTACCTACAGAGTCCAGATTCTTGGGCATCTCCTAGAGAGAAGTAGAGGGGGAAAGGGCTGGTGCTGCTCTGTGCTGACTGTGGCACAGGAGTGAGCAGAAGAAAGCCATACAGCAGCCATGGCATCCTGAGCTGTGAACTGATGCCACTGGAACAGAATTGGTAACTTTTGTAAGTAAAGACAATTAGCACCAGCCCTCAGGGAACTAGCTGAGACAAAGGCATTGGGCAGGCAGAGGCTAGAATTGACACCTGAGTGTAAACTCTAATTTGCTTCAGGGTCAGAGCTGGGTTATTCACCAGCTCCAGAAAGCTTCTGACTTCCAGAAGAATTTAGACTGCACAGAAGGTGTGAGGCTATAACAGGCCACAACTTTCTAAGTGCAAATTCTTCCCCTGCCGGACTGGACTCAGATTTCCCAAAGAGCACCTGGCCCTCAGGGTAATGCTGAGACAAAGGCAGTGGGCAGGCAGAGGCAGGGATTGACACCTGAGTGTAAAATCTAATTGCTGCCCGGGGTTGAGTTGCTCTGCAGCAGTAGCAGCCTTTGACTTGAAGAGGAATCTAGCCGCAACAGAAGGTGAGGGGCTGGAATTAAGAGAACGTCCACAGCCTAATTTAAACACGCAAGGCCCCAATGCCGGACGCAGATTTCCGGGTGATTTTGGCAGTTGTAAACCCCGGGAGCAGTTGCCTACTGGAGTGAACAGGTGTGACCTGCGGGATTATGAGTGACTGGGTGCAAGGTGGGGAAGGAGGTATTAACCTTCCCAGACTAACCCATCTGCTGGGTGGGTCCCTTTGCCCTCACGGAGCACTGTAGCAAGTTATATCCAAGCTATGAGCAGAACCCTCTTATCTAGCTGCAAGAAACATTTGAACTTTTCCACCTGAAACAGGTGCTGACTGGGACAACTGATTTGGACCCCTTAAACCAGGCAGACCACTCAGGGACTATTCAAAGGGGCACCCTGGGTGTATGGTTGAGGGAATGTTTGTTTTTCCTTG